GAACCAAACGTTCTCGGGGTCTGCTGGAAGTTTTCGGATTCGAAAGGGCGGTTTCAGTCGAGCTTGAACATATTCTGTAGTAGTCCATACAGGGTCTGGATGCTGTCATTGTGGTGTCGCCTATTAAACACTTATTTTTCCATGCTTTGTATATATGTTTGACCAAACAAACTGTAGTTGGTCGCTTAGGATTGGTACTTGTAATCATGATTTGAAAAAAAAAGCAATGATCTTTAATTTGATTTGAATATTTGAATTGGTGGCTGGAGGTTAGAACAAAAGAGCTTTTAAGTTTTGCAGCTGTTGGAGAAATTTTAACACGGCCTAAAATCTTCTCACGTTGCCCACTCAACCTGGATTTCTTTCTCTTATTTTAGGAACACCATAAAACCATCTTCCATTTTATTTATTAAAGTCACGCATGAATTTCATTAGCATGTATTCTCTTCTTTGAAGCTTGTAATATGCGCGCCGAATTACACCGCTTGGAACCAACTGTTATTTTTTTTAAAAAAGAGTCCTATTCTCATGTTAAAGATAACTTATCACAATGAAATCAAGTGGTTATTCATGAAATTCATCATTGCATCCGTCAGACAAAAGTCCACCATGAACTTGGTTCTCTTTGTGATATTCCATTCGCGTGGCCTGCATCTTTACTTCAAGATATGTGACAATCTTAGCTGTACGAACTTATTCGTGAGCTTGAATATGATGAATGAGATCAAAACTCTTAACACATCACTTTAGAAAACCAAATAAATTGTTTCCAGCTTATGAACTTGATAAAACTTGGCTCCCATATTTTTGAATCTAGATTTGGTAAGGACCACATGAAGAATCCCTTGAATTTGCCCCTTGACTACTTAAACGATGAAATCACCATAAGCATAACCTGAATAAGAATCAAACAACCATGCTTGGAAGGATTGGATTTGCAAGTGTCATCTCCACTTGATTTTAACACACCTGCGCACACTTGTTAGTCATAATAAATATATATATGAAAGGTAAAATAAAACAAGTAAGAACAAACACGAGGAGGTGGAATCTTATGGTCGAAAATTAGGGTGCAACAGTATGTTGTGAATACATGAGCATGTTTTGGAAATGCCTTTATGCTATTAATCTTTATTGATGAATGATTAATGTTGAAATATGGTACTCAAAATTGTGCTTTGATGATAATAAATGACATGATCATGATGATGCATGTTTGATCCATGAATCATTCTAACATGTTAGCATTATTAGGGTTTGATTGTATGTGTTCACCTTGGAATTGGGCTAAGAAATCATGAAGAATGGGTGAAAATATGAAACATGCAGAATTTAATTTGAATTAGGAAGCTAAATTCTACAGAAATGAAATTCTGACTGATTTGATTCAAATCAGAGATATAAACTGTGATTCCTAATTCGAATCAGAACCTTCTGATTAGCCACTTTTTGAATTGATTCGAATCATAAATTACACTTGATTCGAATCAGAATGATAAATTGTGTTCAAAACACTATTTTCCTCATAACTTGAGTTCCATATCTCTGATTGAGACGTTGTCGGATGCGCCAGAAAGCTAATTCAAAGAAATATCCTATAGTGACATAATATAATTCTCATTTTTAATATTAGTAACTAAGAATGCTTTTTCCCAAGGTTAGTACTTTGTTCCTGGACACATGTTTAGATGAATTGTGAGTAGTACTATTCTCAATGAGAATTATACTATAAGTCCCGAAAGCAGGTCAACAAGTAAAGTCCGTAAGACCAATCCTTGAGAGAAATGAGTTCTCCACAGTAAGCCAACAGGTAAATCCATAAGACTAATCCTTGAGAGACATAGCCCCCCTAAAAGAAGGAAGGATGGTAACCCCGTAAGACCAATCCTTGAGAGACGTGATTCCTAACAGTAGCCCAACAGATAAACCCGAAAGACCTAACCTTGAGGGGAGTAGTCTAACAAGTGTTGTGATGTAGAAGTTAAATAATTAACAATATGTTTGTGTATGCATGTGCATTATTTATGTTATAATATTAAATTGGATAAAGTGAGAAGCCTTAGGATAATAGTTTAGGTCTCGTTGGGGGACGAAACTCGTAAAGTAGTAGGAATTCTACTCTAGCCAAGAAAGGTAGTACGAAGCTGGATATGGAGTTACCATAGTGTAATTCCACCGTGTTCTCCTCATGCAGATCAAGGAATGATTGTAACTTCATTTCCTCAACTATGCTTTAAATTAAGGCCCGATAGAGATACTAAAGTCTTCGTCAAGAGATTTTCCTTAATTCTCTTGTAGGATATGAAATCCCCATATTTGGAATCCTTGGTTTTTCTCTCCTACATGATATGGAATCACCATGATGATATTCCTCAATTCTCCTTTATTGGGAAACAGGTTAGAGATATCAATTATGATATGGTACAATGGTACTACTTGTAGTTTTCGTCGTCTACCAGGCATATAGTACAATATATCGTGTCTTCACGTGTGTTACAAAGTCGTATGAGCTTCGTTAGTATGCTTCTTATTAGAGTACGAGTGTGTAATACATAATTTGTATAAGAATAGTATACCCTGTAGAGCCGAGTGGATCCGTAATATAGGAGAACTCCACTAAGATTTAATAATCTCACCTCAATTATGTTGTTGTTTTTAGGCTAGCTGCAGGTAGGGGTGGCAAAATGGATGGATTAGATGGATATGGATTGAGTTGTTAATGGATGGATTAAAACAATTCATTAGTCGATTAACAATCCACAAAAATTTTCTTAAAATTATCGAATCCATCCATTAACATATTTTTAATGGATGGATATCCATCCATCCAACTTTCTTTTTATTTCGAAAAAATAAACGTATTTTTTTTATTTTTAAAAATCGATTTTATTTTATTTTTGAAAAATTCATTTTTTTTATTTAAAAAAAATTGTATTTTAATATATTCATGAAAAAAAATTGATTTTTTTTGTTAAAAAAAATCTTTTTTGTATTTTCAAGAAAAAAATTGATATTTTCATTTTTGAAAAATATCAATTTTTTTTTATAAAAAAAATTGGTTTTTTGTTTCGGAAAAAACTGTTTTTTTTTTCAAAAAAAAAATTGATTTTTTTCGCAAAACAAATCAGTCTTTTATTTTGGAAAAAAATCGATTTTTTTAGGAAAAAATCAAAAAAAAATTTCAGAAAAAAAGTTCGATATTTTTTTGGAAAAATTCTGATTTTTTTATTGGAAAAAAATCAATTCTTTTCTTTTAAAATTTTTATTTTTAATTATTTTTTAAAAAATCTATTTTAAAAAAAAAAAATCTAACGAAATTAAAAATAATTCATTAGATCCATAAAATATGTTGGATGGATTGAATCCATCCATGCATATAAATGGATGTATTTAATCCAATCTATTAACTTATTTTTTATGTGGTGGATGGATTGGATGGATTTTTTGATGGATGGATTAGATGGATTTTGCATTAATGGATTCAATTGCCACCTCTAGCTGCAGGTGCTTGAGTTTTGGCGAGAAGACCTAAAGAGTGAAGAATCATATGTCAGATAGATATGTTCTGTTGTGTCTTTCTATTTAGTCTATATATGACATCTTATGTATTATATACCTTGATATAATACACCTTTGGATGCCACTTAGATAATGTTTGTTTCAGTACCAAATTTTTAATTGTTTACATAATATGATTCTAGATGTGGGTTGTTACAAATATCGTCATACCTATAAGATAACAGTCCTGACCAAACATTTCCTTGATCATTTAGGATCCTCTTTTTCCATTTTCTCAATAACACAATATTGAATAATTCAATGTCTTTAACTTTGAGACCTCCTTGCTCCTTTGGCTTGCACACATTGTTCTAACTCATTAAGCTTATTTTCTTCCTTTCTTTGAGTCCTCCCTATATAAATGTTGGTTGTATCTTGGTTACCTCTTAGGTCACTTTCCTTAGAGCTTTATAGAATGATATATATAGTATAATGGTATACTACTCAAAATAGAACTCAAAATAGAACTCAAAATCACTACTCTTCCCCCAATTGACAAATATCTTCCCTTCCATGATGATAATATGTCTCATACCTTCTCTAAGATCGGGTTCCCTAATGATCATGTCCTTTGATTTGTTCCTACAGGTATGCTAATAAAACAAAATGGGAAATTTTTACCACAATAAAATTTTCCAACACTATGTGTCAATGTACCCAACATTTCAAGATATTATCCAATCTACCCAAGTTTCAGACTTTTATTTATTTATTTGTGAGGGGGCGCCATCCAGGATGGAGGCACCCTTATAATTTTAAGGGAGGCGCCATCCATGATGGAGGCCCCCTTAAAATTATAAGGGGGCGCCATCCATGATGGAGACACCCCTTTAATTTTAAGGGGGGCGCCATCCATGATGGAGCCCCCTTATTTCGTTTAATTATTTAATACAAATGTAAATAATATAATTAATATTTAATATTATTTTATACCAATTTTTTTTTTATAAATAGTTAGACTTGTTTCATCCAAATTAACATTGTTTCATCCAAATTTAGGAGAGTGAATCATGTATCTTAAAAGATATGGGCATGTCATTTTCTCAAGAGCTAAGCCTCCGATAAGGATGTTGTTTTGGAACATCCAAAATTTAGAGCAACTACGAAAAAATTTGAATCGCTGGTTAGAAAGAGACATTCCAAATGGTGAAAGCATTAGGAGTATTGAAAGACTTGTTTCATACTTCTCTATTGAAGACGAAAATATACGGCGGGAGTGGGTGCGAATTAAAGATGACAACGAAGTTAGGTCTATGATGTTCAGAACTGATGATATTACTTTGATTGTTGTTATATCTTAGTTTATATTGTAATAATCGTTATATATTTAATGATTTGCGTTGTTGCTCTAGAAGTATTTCAATTTGTTTATGTGGTAATCAAAAATTGTTATAAATATTAAATTCCAAGGTTACACATTTTTTTTAATGACGAAAGTAAATCTATCTAGAACTTGTTCCAACATTTGGACAATTATTCCTCGTATGCCCGGGAAGACGACATATTCTGCATCTTTCCATTTTCTCAGTTGTATCCATTTCAGTTGTAATTCGCGTGCTTTTGGGGCGGCTCTTTTTGTTTCGTCTCATATTTTCGTTGTGGTAGATTGTCTCTCCATGATAGGTTGGCCAATAGTCCTCACTAGCTACCACTGGAAAACTGTTACTGTAGATACCGAATAAGTTCACGACCTTGTAAACTTCTGATAGTTGCAAGAATGGATCGTGACGAGCACTGGAACATGCGGCAATGACATGTGAACAAGGCATGCAGAAGGTTTGAAACTTTCCGCAGTCGCACTATTTTTTATGAATTTCCACCCTGTAGTGTCTCATTGGCTGACCCTCGTTGTGATCCATTGTCTCATCAACAATGAAGTTGTAATCGTGATGATCAAATGGTCTAACTCGATGTGAGGCCGCCTTAGAAGTTTCATCCTTCATATATTTCATACATGATTCGCTGAATATTTGCCCTGATTCCAAAACAGCGCTCCATTTTTTTGCCTCTTGTCGCAAAAAGTGACCCCAATCTGTAATAGGTTGATCGTACCAACGCAGTGATGGGGAGGTTCCTAGTTCCCTTAAATATGTCGTTTATGGATTCTACAAGATTTGTGGTCATGTGACCCCATCTGCATCCTCCATCAAAAGCCCTTGTCCATTTCTCGACTGGAATGCTATCCACCCAGCTTAATGCTTCCGTGCTTGACAATCTTATTTCTTCGCGGTAATACATGAACGATGGTTGGTTTAAGGCATACCCAGCGTTCACAACTTTTTTACGGAGATTTCTGTCTTTTATTTCCCGCATAAAATTCTGAGCAATGTGTCTTATGCAGTAGACATGGACAGAAGGAGGATTGCGCCAACCATTAGCAGGATTGTTATAGACGCTCACAATAGAGGCATGTCTGTTGGAAATCAGACATAAGTTGGGTTGAGGAGCGACATGTGTTCTAAGATTTCTAAGGAAGAAACTCCAAGCTTCACCTGTCTCACCCTCGACCAGAGCAAAGGCAATCGAAAATATATTATTATTTCCGTCTTGTGCAGAACATAACAGATAGGTGGATGGGGCTTACCTAAATTTTTCCTTTAAGTTTATGTCGAAAAACTTAATTTTATGGAGATTAACACACAATCTTGAAGTAAACTTGAACTTGCATAATATTTATTTAATGTTCCAAATATTCCTCCAAGAACCTTCACCTACAGTTATAGTATCATCTGCATACTGTGGGATCAGGAAAATAATTTCATCATTAAATTTAAAACCATGTAATTCCCCCATTTGGGTTGTATTTTGTACTAATACCACCAAACTTTTTGCTTCCAATTGGAAAAGAAAAGGAGAAATAGGATTTCCCTATCATAGACCTTGCCCCACATAAAAATATATGGTTGGCCTCCCATTAACAAGAATAGACATAGAACTTGTGAAATGCCCGATTACATCCAACTCAACCATTTACGACCAAAGCTCATTCTTCTCATCACATAATGAAGATAGTTCCAGCTCACGCAATAGTACGCCTTTTCAAGGTCAAACTTTAGAAACATACATTCTTTTTTTCCTCTCAGCTAAATCCACTATTTAATTGATCACTAACACACCATCAAGGATTTGTCTATTTGGTATAAACGCAAATTTACTTGTTGATATCAGCTTTCCAACAACCTTTTTCAAGCTTGTAGCAAGGATTTTTAAGATGATTTTGTAGATAGTTCCTACAAAGAAAATAGGTTTATACTCATTAAGCTCTTGGGAATTTTCTCTTTTGGGTATGAGGATAAAAAATGTTATTGTGACTTCCCTATACATCTTTGTATAGGCGTGGAACTCATTCACGTGCTCTGTAATGTCTACCATCAATATTTATCAACACTTTTTGATGAACGTGGAGTTGTAATTGTCTGGCCTTGGGAATTTTTCTCCATCGCTTGACAAAATTGCTTCCTTAATCTCATCATATAAAAATGGTTCCTCCATCGTAACTCTTTCTTCCTGTGATAGTTGATTGAAATCCATTCCATCAAGTGTAAGTCTGCTAACATTTTGTTCTTGGAATCTAACTTGGAAATAATTTTATCTCCAATTTGACATCCTCAACTTTCTCTGCCCTTCCTCAGGTCGTGTTGAGAGATACAATGTTGTTCTTTCTACTTCTTATTTTCATGACTGAGTGGAAAAATATTGAATTTGAGTCTCCATCCTGAAACCACACTTGTCTTAATTTCTTCCTTAAGATACTTTCTTTGAGTTGTAAGTTCTTCCACACCTTTCTTGTTTATATTGATTGCATATCTACTATATTATATCTTAGTAAAGTATTTTCAGTTACATCATAGAGTCCGATTCATTCAAATCCTTAACAATGTTTCAACCTCCAAAACTATCCAATTGAACACCTTCATGTTCGAGCATCTTAGTTTTCCTTTTAGAATCTTAATTTTTTTTCTTTTGGGTCATAAGCACCCTTCCTTTTGACCAAAATAGACTTCCACAATCATTAACAAATAACACAAAATCTTCATGGTTGAACCAATAATTAAGTACTTTAAATGGATTTCGTCACCAATTAAAATGATTTACTTTAATCCATATATGATAGTGGTTAGATATGTCTTTGCTTCCCACATATTTTCCTTCAATCTTCCACTTCTGAATCAACCCTTCTAACAATAGGAACAAATCTAATTTTTTCATTTCACTACCTTATATATTGAATCATATGAACTTACTTTTGATTTATGGTACATCCTTTACTTCTAACATTTCAATCAAGATCTTAAATTCTTTCATTTAAACCTTATTGACTTGTGAGTTGATCCCTTTTATTTCCTTTTTATTTGTGATTGCATTAAAATCTCCTCCAATGCATAATTCTCATTTCAAATGTTTAATTTTGAACTCTCTCAATTCACTGAATAACATTTTATTTCTTTGTATGTTACAGGACGAATAAATATTGATAATGAAGTATGAAATTCTATGATGTTCCAAATTTACTCTAACAAAGCCTTTCCTAACAAAGTTATAGTTTAGAGAAAACAACCTTGCCTTCTACAAGACTAATAATCCTCCTGATCTTTCCTGAGTCCACTTTGATGCCCACTCCACTTCCTTGTTACCCCATAATGAAAATGCATCAACCTCATATAAAGTTTGTACTTTTGTTTCCCGTATTAAACACACATCAATCATACCTAACTTAATCAAGTGTTGCAATCTCTTTTGTTTTGTTGGATTGTGGCACCCACAGATACTATAAGATATTTATTATATTCATGTTTCCTTTTTGACTTTTTCCCCACTTTCTTCTCCCTCTTGATCTCTAATTTTCATTCCTTTAATAAACTCCACGTATACCTTTATATATATATATATATATATATATATATATATATATATATATATATATATATATATATATATATATATATATATATATATATATATATATATATATATATATATATATATATATATATATATATATATATATATATATATATAACATACATTATGCATTTCATATACACAATCACACTAAATAATAGTTAATACATTACAAATACTACTAAATAAATGACTCATATAAGTAATGTATACTTCATAGAACACATACTACAATTGTATTGTATAATATTAGAAAGCATAAAATACACAGATGTACACATCATACTATATCAAAACAGACTTCACAAGTATATGATTATGCACACATCACATGGTAAAATATAAATATATTTAAAAAAATTAGTACACACACCATCCAAGTGACAATATATTTACATAGAAATTTTTGTAGATGTACAACAACAACATGCAAATGTTTATTTTATGGAAATACAATATATTCACACAATAGAAAACATATCATAAAGATGCACATCAGTACAACTATTTAACACACATCACACACACGTACACACATTATTGAAAACAACACACATTGAAAACACGCAAAGATAATATACACACGGGTACACATGATTATGACACAAGATAAGAATTGTATAGCAGAGACACACACACACAAGGGCTATACATATACTCACACAATCAATAACACATCGCACAGATAACAATACACATAAAACATTCACAAACAATTCGCAAGGGACAGTAACCACAAGGTAAATTCTAAGGAGTTTTTCTTTCTCCATTGCGTGTTCGCTCCTGAAGCCGTCAATGCTGCACCATTTCTATTGGCCCACATACAAGCCGACTGTGGTCGAGGTTCGAAACCATTTTACATCGGAGGTATCATTACTTCCATAGACATAGCCCTCGGCCTCAGCGACCGTCTGCAGAACCTTCCCTCGCTGCCTCCGCTCCTACTTGACATCAACTACTGTTGCTCCTCCCACCTCATCAAAGTCAGAGCCGGCGGCAAATATCATCCGGTGGTACGTAACCGTACCGTCCGCAGCATCATCATGCCTTGTCGTGACCGCACAAATCCGCAGGACCGAGCCAATTGGCTCTTTGATCTTTCTGCTCCTGAAGTAAATGCAGCTGCTCCTCGTGTTGAAGCCAATAGGCCTGCAGATGAGATGGAAGATGAAATGGACCGAGCAGACCGCACCGAGACACAACCACCAGCTGACGAAGGCCCGTCCTCCCGACGCCGACGTTGTCCTGAGTCCGAGGTTACAAATGAAGAGAACCTTTGTGGTATTTGGCAACAAAACCAGACGGCCGCCCAGCTCGAAGTTCGTCACCAAGAACAACACCAACAGATGATGGCACTGTTGCAGCAAATCCACCAGGGGCAGGTAGCCCAGGGTGAACGCCTTGAAAACGTCATCGATGAGATGGCTGCCTTCACCGTCCGAGTGGAAGGCCTTAGCGAATGTATTTATCACACTGGCGCTCTGAACCTCACGACACGAGGAGGACGACCTCGAGGCAGAGGCAGAGTAGTGTTCTCCGTAGCCATCCTGTTGTTATTTTATTTCTTGCACTTTATTTCTTCTTGTTATATCCCTTCCACAGTCGTTTCAAACCAGTGAGGACACTGCTTGAGATGGTGTGGGAGCGGCACTTTATTTCCCTTCACCTTTGTTATGTATGTTTCCTTTCAACTATTTTAATTCAGTTATTTTAATTCAGTACAATAAAGCTCATTTATGTATTCCTTTCCGTTACGCAAACTTCTCCGCTTTATTCAAGCTATACAAAAAAAAAATTCAAAACCGATGCACCACCCGACGCGCCAAGATAAAGGCCGAGTTAGGGAACCCCGAGAACTAATTCTAAC